CGCAGAGGCCCCGAAGCTGATGAGCAGCAGGCAGCTCGCGTCGAACGCCCGGGCCGTCGCCGCCAGGCCTGCCACGCCCGCAACGATGTCGGGCGTGGACGGCAGCGCCCGCTCTGCAGGCTCCGCTCGCCGCCAGGCCTTCAGCAGCGCCCGCGACAGGTCCAGCCTCCGCGGCAGCTCGGGCAGCAGGAAGAAAACGCCCGCGACGGTGTTGTTCGCCAGCGCGACGCCTGCCCCGCTCTACCAGATCGCCTCCAAATAGCCGGCGACAAGGCTGTCAGCATCCTCTGCCTCGTCGCCCAGGATGCGCACCTCCCGAGAGCTCACCCCGCAATGCCTCAGCAGGTCCTGCACTGCGCGAGTGTGCCTCGCTCGAACCGCAAACCCTACTCGCAGCGAGGCGAGGGTCTGCTGGCGCGTCCCGCGCCGCTTCAGCACGGCTCCCGCGGCCCGCATGGGATCACGGCGGGCCGCTCCTCGCCGCGCTGCCTGAGCCGCGAGCCACGCCACAGCTCGCGCGACGGCTCGTCCGGCGGCTTGTCTCCGAGACCACGTTGCCGATCAGCGGGTGCATGTCCGCCGCGATCGCCATGGCCATCCAGCGCCTCAGCGCCGGCTGCAAGCGGCGGCTGCTGCTCCGACCCTTGGTCACGATGGCCGTCGCGACATGACTGTCGACGAGGTGAAGCAACCGCGCGCAGCGTCGGGCTGACGTCCGCGCTCGCCATCGCATGGCTGCAAAGGCCGCCTTCAGCTCTCTCGCGCTGGCGTGCGCGCGCGTCTCGCGCGGCCAGCGCGACGCGCCACCGCCGCGCGAAGGGGCCCAGGCTCGAGCGAGGCCAGCCTCTTGAACGGCACGGCAGGCCGCAGTCCAGCCGCGTGTCCGAGACCCCCGTCTCCGCGCGGCTCAGGTAGTGGAAGACGAGACGCCTGGACCCCATCGGTGTTCGGGTCGCCCGCGCTATCCTCGAAGCAGCCGCGCTGGCCCCAGGTCTCGCGGAACCGGCCGACGCGCGCGATCTCGGGCACGGACAAGGGGCGCGCCAAAGCGGACTCCGCAAGGAAGACGCGCTGCAAAGCCCATGCGACCACATACGCGCCGAAGCTGTTCCCAATCAGGACGGCCCTGGCGTCTGAGGCGGCCTGCGAGATCGAGCCCTGCGTGGCTACCGTGGTGCAACCCTCATCGAACCCGAGCAATCGTTCTCTCTCCGTGCACCTTGGCAGCCTCCCTGGCAGCTTCCCAGAACAATCCTGGGCGATATTTTTCTCCTCGTATAGCGCAACGTGATAGCGGAGCGAGTCGGCCTGCCAGCGCGCGGGCGCCTCACTGGACGCCGCGGCCAGGCCGCGCGGCGCCGACGGAAAGCTCGGGAGGGGCCTGCAGCACACCGGCGTCGGGAAGGGAAGCGGGCGCCCTGCCCAGCGAAACCTATGGTCCTCCCACTCGATGTCCAGCAGCGACCCGTTGTCTGTCATGACCTCGATGTAGTAGCCCCTGTCGACAAGGCGCAGCGGCGGTGTCACTGGGAGTTGCCAGCTGAGCCAGAAGAGCCGCGGCCTGCGACGCGGCACCATGACCGACGAGCAGATGAAGTACGGCTTAACTTCCATGCAGCTGGACATGGCCTTGACATTCTCGTCTGTCATGTTCGCCACGTTCTCGAGCAGCGAGTAAAACCGCCGCCCGAACGCCTGCTGCAGGAGCCGGAAGATCCTGGGCACCTCGTAAAACAGCGAGCCCTTGCGGCCATGCAGGCGCCCACAGCTCGCGTTGAGGCGCGAGAGGTCCTTGCGCGGGCTGCCCGCGCCAGCGACGCACGCGCCCACAGTCTCCGAGAACATGTCAAAGAGGTCCTGCGCCAGGTTCTCGTCCGCCCGCGCCACGTCGCCCCAATCGATCGCGCCTGGCCAGCGCCGCCGGACAACTCGCCAGGCCTTCGCGTCGGTCTCGGCGGCGACATAGGCGACGGTCCTGACGGGCAGCCTCGAGCGCAACACCGCGAGGCCGCCGATGCCGTCGAAGAGCCCCACGACTAAAAAAGGACATTGAACACCTTCAACACAACTGCCCTCGGGGTCCTCGAGTTAGACACGGCCCAGGGGCACCGCGATCTACAGGCGCGTTGAGCAGCCGAGCGCCCGCGCCGAGGTGATCAGCGACCTGACCCACGGATTTGGGGGCCGATGCCGCCTCCCCACGAAGGCTCGTGGACGCGCAGACCCCGCCCGCGAACTCCGAGGCGTTTGAGACCGTGACCATCCCCTCGACGCGGATGCGGAGAGAGGTGGCCGCTGCATGTGGGCAGCAACATAAGGCCCAAGAGGAGCCTCGAGCATCTCGGCATTGCATCGGACCGTCGATCGCGCCGTCGACAGAGACCACGAAAAACGAGCGTCTAAACTCAAAAGACCGCACCAGCTTGCCAAGGACCGTCATGCACACCCGCCAGGGCACCCGTTCCTGCGACAAAGTCGCGAGGCAAATGGCAGCGGTTCTCAGCGCCTTGGGGCGCGGCGCTACCAGCCGTCCGCTGACGCCATCAACGTCGGCCCCCACGCGCTCAACCCGCGCCTCCCGCAAGTGAGCCTTCTCCGCCGCGTGGGCCACGCCACCGCGCTTGTAGCTCTCCCGAACGCGCCGCTGGCAGTCCGCCTCGGTGCCCACATGCTGCGGCGCCCGCGCCTCGTCCACGATCTCGGGCGCGTCGAAGTCGCCAGCGCGCACCTGCCACCAGCCGGCCTCGTGGCCACTGCCCAGCTCGACGATCGGGCGCGCTTCGTCCTCCAGCCCAGTCGGAAGCCCTGCGCCCCTGGGCGGCGGCAGTCGGCACAGCCTGCGGTGGACTCGGCGGTGGGCGTGCTGGAAGACGGGGGCCGCCGACGTCCGCCCCATGGCAATCGCAGCGGACGCAATGCACACCTGCCGCCCGGGGCGCCCGAAGAGCGCGCCAGGGAGGGACCTGCCGACCGCCATGTAGGGGTGCCAGGCCTTAGGGGCTCTCCTGACGAAGAAGGCCCCCTTCTGGTAGTCACCCGACCACAGCAGCAACTTCTCCTCGGGGATGCGCAAGGACACCCAGTTCGAAGACGCCGCGAGGAGCGACACCTCACCGACATGCGGCTTGAGCAGCGCGTTGCCGGGGACCATGTTCAAGATCAGCCCGGTGACCGGCTCGGCGCCTGGCCCTGACTTGCCATTCTTCCCCACAGCGAAGAGGCCGTTCAAGAGCGGCTCGCCCCGCACCTCGACGAGCTGGCGCTCGCTCAGCACAGCGAGACCCCCGAGCTTCACGAGGTGCGCCGCGAGCTCGCGCCAACCCGCCTCGTCCACGACATTGACCCTGGCTCGAAACATGGGGTCGGGCCAGTCGGCCTCGGGGGGAAGGGCCTTCTCCGGCGAGGCTCGCCACTCGGCAACGTCGGGCTCCACGAAGTCCAGGGCGCCAAGCGCTGCGGCGTGCTCGGGCCGCGGCAAGCCCGGCGCCAGCTCCGCGAGCACGCAGGGCGACGCCTTGGCCACGGGCTCGCCTGCGTAGTCCACGGTCGCCTCACTGAGGGCCACGCCGGCGGCGAGCGCGTTCACCTGCTCGAACGGCCCCCCCAGGAAGTCGACGACGCGGGACTTCAGGAACCCCCTGGCCTGCTGCTGCGCCTGGGACAAAGTCGGGCGATGCATCCAGGCCTGCTTGCGGCGACCACTGCGCGTGTAATTCAGCGCCGTGACGGTGAGAAACAACCGGACCTCCTCGCCGAGAGATAGGCCTGGTTCTGCACTTGTGCCCGGCATCTCTGCTCGCCCGCCGGCGCCCGACAGCCGGGAGACTTGGCAGGGGCAGCGGCAACAAGTCACGAACGCGCCTGCCGCTCCCGCTGCGCGTGGACACGCGCTCTGCAAATTCTCTCGAGAAGCCCCCCCAGGCTGCCAGGTTGGCGCTCGACAAGCTGTGCGAGGTGCACTGCCGCATCATCGCTCGCGATGGTCGTGCCGAACAGCACCGCGACCTCGGCGCGCCACGCCTCAGCGTCGCGCGCAGCACAGCCCGCGTCGGGGGGGCCCCGCATGCCGTCTAGGAGCGAGGTGCTCGCCAGCCCCCGCTGCTGGCCCCCGCTGGGATGCGCCCCCGCCGCGAGGCGGCCCCTTGGCCCCTCTGCCTCCAGCCGGGGGAAGCCATCGAACACGGGCAGCAACCCGCTGCTACAGGTCGGGGGCCGCGCCGCGCCCTCCTCCTCGGAAGCGGCGCCTCCAGCAGCCCCGGCAACGTCTGCTATCGCTTCTGGCCGCGCGACGCCGTAGTGCAGATGCGCAGCCGGTCCTTGTACTCCCTCGACGTCTCGCAATCCTTCTTCGGGCACGCAGCCCTCGCCGCCATTAAATTCAGCGGCGCCAGTGAGCCTCCAGCGGGCAGCTTCTCGGCGGTCTTGTCGAGCTGCGCGGCGCGCTGGTGAGGCGGCTTCTCGCCCTCCTTCGCGCTGCCCTTCGGCCCCTTCGGGCGGCTGGGCGCGCGATTGCCGGTCGCCCGCGCTGTCGCGGGGGGCGCCCGCCCCGCCTGACCTGCAGGAGGAGGCGCCAGCGGCGGGCGCGCCCCCCCCCCGGCCTCCACTTCAACCCTGGGGCTTGCGAAGCCGGCTGCTGAGCTCCTCCAGCTTCAGCTCGCCGAGCTCGATGCTGCGGATCATCTCCCCCTCCTCGCCGCGCAACGTGGTGGGCTCGCCCAAGGCAGGGATCAGCTCGAGCCACTTCGCCGCGCCCCAGTGGCCGTCGCCGAGCCGACTGCCGCCTGCGCCGCCTTCAGCCGCTGGGTCAATATGTCCAGCGCATGAGGAACCTTGCCCTGGACGAGGAAGTCGATCGCCTCGGCCAGCGCCCGCATCTCGCGATGCGCAGCCACCCCGATCTGCTGCGCTGGGTTCTGCGGCAGGTAGATCGTGAGCAGGTACCTCTGCACGAGCGCCGTGGTCGGGCCCACCGCAGGTCGCCTTCGACGGCGCCGAGGAACTTCGCCATCTGCATCAGCGCGAGCCCTGACAACTTGCCAGGCTGGTCCTGCGCCATCTTCCTGCAATGAGCCCGCTTCGTCGCCAGACCCCCCGCGGCCGCGGCCCCGCTGGGCGCGCCGAGGGGGCCCGCGGCGGCCCCAGCGTCCGAGCTGCCAGCGGCCTGCGCGGCCGAGCTCCCGAGCACTGCCATGAGCGCCGTCGCCAACTCCTTCGCGCCCTCTCCTGCAGCACCCCCGCTGGCCGCAGCCGCAGCAGCTGGCCCGCCCGAGCCGCGCGTCGCCTCGGCGCTGGGGCCCCTGGCGACCTTCGCCATGGGCTCCGCCAGCACCTCGGCGAGGCCCCGCTTCTTCGGCTTGCCCTCGCTCGGCGCGGCCTCCGCGCTGACTGGAGGGGCGCCGGCCGCAGCGGCCCCTGGCGCCGCCGAGGCGCGGCCCTGCCGGGCCAGGCGTCGGCGGCGCGGCACTCTCCTTTCGGGCGCGCCGCCTGACGTGGAGCGGCCAGCCGCGCCGCACGCGGCCCCAGCAGGTCCGCGGGCCAGACCGCATCGGGGTTGCGGCGCAAGCAGCTCGAGAAGACGTCGGCGACGCCCTCTGCCTCCAGCCTGCGGGCGTCCGAGACGTGGATGAGCTCGTCGCATCCCGCGGGCGCCTCCACACCGCACGGGTCGTCCGCGCAGACGTGCAGCAAAACGCTGGGGGAGATTGCACCCGCAACGCCTGGAGACCCCGCCCACCAGTCCCAGTACGCGTCGTCGCTAAAAAAGAGCCTCGCGCGCACGAGCTGCTCGGGGGCGGCCATGACCCGCAGCGCACGCCACACGAAACCGCACTGCTGCTGCCCGTCGTCGCCGGAGCCTGTACTCAAGTAGAAAGAGTTCGGCTCGATGGTGATCGGCTCGGCGGGCGACGGCTCCAGCTCCTCCGAGGCGCCAGCCGCCTCCTCGCCGTCCTCGACGACCTCGAGCCCCAGGCCGTCGTCCAGCAGCTCGCCGACTGAGGCGACGACGCCGCCTCCATCCGCAGCATCCAGCTCCAAGCCTGGAGTGCGCTCGTGCGCGGAACACCGAACGCACACGGCGCGCCGTGGCACAGGTCGCGCCGTCAGGCCGCGCGACGGTGTCGCGCGGATGCCTCAACACACTGCGACCCTCGCCCCGCGGCGGGCGCACACCCGCGACGCGGGAGAGGGAAGTTTGGCTCGGAGCCAAAAACTCACTGAGCCAGAACAGCTCTGGAGCGGAGGGTCGACGGCGTAGGGGATACACACACCAAAATGTATGGCCATACAAGTCAGTATATGGCCATACTTATGCATATACATAGACGTATACATGCACATAAACATGTACGTATACGCATACTATACATACCCATGCCGACACACATGCACATATACCTATACATATACATACATGTGCACAGACACATAATCAAAAACGTGCACCTATACATGTATAGATGCAAATGCATATGCATATACATATAAGTAGACATGTGGATAAGCATGACAACTCAATATACATCTACATAGACATTGACATAGGCATGCGCCTGCACAACTATGTATACATACATATACAGATATATGGCCATCTACGTGGTGCAAGCGACGAGTTGCAATCTAGGTCGGCAAGCTCTGTTGTTTTTCAATATTTGTTATGTGCTCGAACATCGGCGTCAAGCGGCGACAGCGGCGACGGGGCGGCGACGGAGACGTTATAGCCACAAGACCGGTAGACAAGCCCAGACGACGGGCGGCGACGAGGCGGCGACGGGGCGGCGACGTCGACTACATAGCCGCCAGACCGACAGACACGCCCAAATCTTTCGACCATCAGTGAGAACCCCTACATGGCGAATTGTCTTCATTGCCATATCACTGCGTCTGTATACGTAGTACTGTCTGTATTGGACTGTTGTTGTCCATGTAAACACATTATTGCCTGTTTGACCTTAATGTCCATATTACTGAAGGGTTTTGCATGAATGGATGGCGCACGCAACACTTTGGCTTCCCCACAAACATCCGACAATTTTAAATCTGCACAACGCATTTATTGAGTGGATTCTCACTTTCGGACTCTGGGGGCCCCTGCCCAGCCCCAAGACTGGCACACATATCCAACGTCTTGAGAAATCAAACCAGCCCTCTGGGCGTGATTGGTCGAAGGAGCTCGTTCTGGTGCCCCCCTGTCTTCTCTCTCGGGGAGGTGGTCCCACTCCCCTGCCCTCTTTCCCTGGGCCTGGAAACCGGAGAGTGGGTTTCGCGAGGGGGTGGGGTGGAGCACCAAAGATGGCTCAAGATGATTCCAAGATGGCCCTGGAGAGCCCGGGATGGCCTGCAAGATCGTTCAGGATAGCCCCACGCGGTTCAGTATATCTACCACCATGGTTCCAATAGGCCCCAAGACCGCTCCAAGGCGGCTCCCAGTGCCCTCCGAGCCCCTACGGAGGCCCTAAACAGGCCAACATCAATCGAAATCTTTGTGGTTTTCCGTTTGTTGCCTTCTCGCTGTTTCGCCTCCGATGAACAATGAAGTCCTCAAGACGGCCCCAAATGGCTCAGGATGGCGCCAACAGGAGCCGTATGGGGCAGGGGGGCGGCCCCAACAGCGCCAAAGACCGCTCCAAGAACGCTCAAAAACAGAGCCCCAAGACGCTCATTTTAGGGCCCCGACGGGGGAACCCAAACTGACGCCGCTCTCGTTTTGGACCGATGCCTTCCAGGAAAATCCCCAGAGAGCCGGCCAACCTCCAACACGCCCTAACAGCCCCCCCAAAGAGCCCCAAGAATGCCCCAAGAGAAACTCACGGGGGACAGTGGCCCGTCAGGGACCCGCCCCGGAAAACGCGGGAGGCCCAGGACCCCCACCCCCCGAAAAAATTGTCCTGCGACGTACCCGACACATTGTATGAAGTGTGAAGAAAAATGCCCCAACTTGCAAGGATAATGATAGCGCAGGCGCCGACATATGTTGTGCAAGCTGCACGGGGTGCGCTCACATGGCGCGATTCACAGGACAACAACATAAGGACGAGGAGCGAAGGCCCAAGGTTGAAGAGGACATGGGAGCGGGAACGAAGGGCAAGAAGAGGACGCGTGGGGGGCCGAAACCGTCAGCGCGGCAGCAACAGAGGGAAGGTGGCAGGGGGCAGAGGACGACGACGAAATTACGGGAGGAGACCGCAGAGTGTTGTTATGTTGTTATTGCCGGCAGTATGCTCAAGATGCAACACCGAATGCGCCATGACGGCGCGGCGCTCGACAAAATGATTAAACCTGCGAGTAGATCGTGCAAGAAGCGAGCGAAACACAGCTCGCCCGCCAGTTTCCCTGGTTCCTTCCTGTACTTCCCAATACGAAAGCTGAACATTCGAAGGCGCGCCGCCAAGTATGCGGGCGGCGACAGTTTTGCTGATCGCGGCCCGCCCCCCTCCCAGGGATCTCGAGGTATAGTCTGACTCTGGGTGGTGACCCCTCCGCTGAACCCCCAGCAGCCCTCCAAAGTGGCAACGGTTTCGCAGGTCGCAGCCCCACGCTAAGGATGGCGAGGTCTCATGTGAATCTGGGTGGTGCCTCTCTCCGCTGAAACTCCCCAAGAGTCCTCGAAGGTGGCGACAGTTTCGCTGATGGCCAAGTCTAATCTGAATCTGGGTGGTGCCTCACTCCGCTGGGCACCCCAGCTGCCCTCGAAAGTGGCGACATGTTCCGCTGATCCCAGGGACGGCGAGGTCTAATCTGAATCTGGGTGGTGCCTCGCCCCGGCGAGCCTCCCAACAGCCTTCGACAGTGGCGACAATTTCGCAGATCGCAGCCCCCCTGGGATGGCGAGGGCTAATATGAATCTGGGTGGTGCCTCATCCCGCTGGACCCACCAGCACACCTCGAAAGTGGTGACCGTTTCGCACATCGCAGGCAGCCCCCGTGGGATGGCGAGGTCTAATCTGAATCCGCGTGCGGCCTCCCTCCGCTCAACCCCCCGACAGCCGTCGAAAGTGGCGACGATGTCACAAATCGCAGCCGCCCAGCGACAGCGTCACAGATCGCAGCCCCCCACGAATGGCGAGGTCGAATCTGAATATGGGAGGTGCGTCGCTCCGCTGGACCCACCAGCATCCCGCGAAACCGGCGATGATTTCACAAATCGCAAGGCCCCACGGATGTCGAGAACGAATCTGAATCTTGGCGGTGCCTCACTCCACTGGATCCACCAACTGCCCTCGGAGGTGACAACAGTTTCACAAATCGCAAACCCACTTGGCATGGCGAGGAAACGTAGGACGGCGAAGCGAAAAAGGTAAAAGGCAAGTCAGCAAAGAAGGATGGAGGAGAGGAGAGGGCGGGAGAGGACGGAGACCGCAGTGCTCCATCCAAAACGAAAGCCCAACGCAGCAGGGTTGGGACAAATTGTTGGGGAAGGGTCCAAAAAGCCCGCCCCGCCCCAACCATCCCCGGCAACGACGACGGCGGCGACGACGACGACGACGGACACGACAACGACGACGGCGACGTCGACGTCAGCGGCGGCGGCGCACCTGTCGCCAACGCCCGCGCCAGGCGACGGCCCTGCTGGAATACTACTATGGCCCGGTCCAACTCTCAATGTCTTACGAAGGCCTTACTCTATTCTGCCCAACTCTGCCCTATCATGCTCAACTACTCGTTCCCCTGCACTACCGTTGCAGCCGTTCGTGGCCCCCTCGCTGCCCTTCGTGGCCCCGTTGCAGCCCGTCGTGCCCCCCTCGCTTTGTGTCGTGGCCTCGTCGCACCCCTTTGTGGCCTCCTCAATGCCCTTCGTGGCCCCGTTGGAGCCCTTCGTGGCCCTCTCGCTGCCCTCCGTGGCCCCGTTGCAGTCCCTCGTGGCCCCGTCGCTTTGTTCCGTGGCCCCGTTGCACCTCTTCGTGGCCCCGTCGCTGCCCTTCGTGGCCCCGTTGCAGCCCTTCGTGGCCCCCTCGCTGCCCTTCGTGGCCCACCTTCGCGGCCCCCGCTCGTTCGCGCCCGTCGTGGCCCCACATGCATGCCTTTCGTGGCCCCGCTGTCGCCCTTTGTGGCCTCCTCGCTGCCCTTCGTGGCCCCGTTGCTGCCCTCAGCGGCCCCGCCCTTGCCCTCCGCTGCCCAATATACGCATGCCCTTCGTGGCCCCCGTTGGGTCGCGCCCGTCGTGGCCCCATGTGCACGCCCTTCGTGGCCCCGCCGTCGCCCTTCGCGGCCCCTTCGCCGTCCTCCGTGGCCCACTTGCTACCCTCAGTGGCCCCGTCATTGTCTTCTGCGTCCCCGCATTATGTGCCGTTCGTGGCCCTCGCTCGCTCGCGTTTGTTGTGGCCCCATACGCATTCCCTTCGCGTCCCCGCTCTCGCCCTTTGTGGCCTACTTCGCGCCCTTCGTGTCCCTGCTGTCGTTCTCTCTCTCGCTGTCGTTTGCGCTCGTCGTCGTCGTCGTCGTCGTGGTCGGTTCCCTGTCCGTCCCTCTTGGGGTCGGTCTGCCGCCGATCAGCGCTGCCGCTGGACACGCCGACGGTCCGCCGCTCTCCCGCCGCTTGCCGGTGCCCGGCTCGCAGGGAAGAAAACTCTACCCCCCAAGCGGGTTACGATCGAAGACGATGAGGGCGGATATCGAGGGTTTGGGAACTACGAATTCACAGACACTCGAGCAGATATTTGCGACCAGTCTTAAAATGTGTGTGTGTTTGTTGAAATCTCACTTATGCAAAATAATTATTGGTGGTCCCCCCATCACCGGTGCATGCTGTTTTGTCTCAATCGAAGTGTGCCCCTCGACGCTCGCACCCTGGTCTTTGGCAGGGAAAAAACCTTCCTTCTCAAACTGTGCCCCTGGCCCCCCGGATTACAACAAGAACAACAACAACGGCTCCCGCCTGAGATGTCCTCCAAATTTACTCAGGACTCCCGCTCCCGCCGGAGACTTCCTCACAATTTACTCAGGATCGCTGCTCCCGCTTGTGACCCCCTCGCAACTTAGTCTGGACCCGCGCTCCCATCTGAGACATCCTCACAACTTACTCATGCACGGCGCTCCC